GGACTCTGCCTGCAAAACGTCAGCCAGCCCGGTGATTTTATCCATCTTTGACAGCGAAGTGCGTCACGGTGTTTGAAACACTTCTGGATGTTCGAAGCATTTGCTGGTTTGTTTTACGCAAGCCGGCAGCTCTGCCTCCTGGGACGTGTGGCTGCTCGGCAACGAGAGCGAGGGGCGATTTTAGGCATTTGATCGTCAGCAAGCACGGTGGTTTGTGTTGGGGAATGGGCCGTTGATCAGTGGGTACCCCTTGCATGGCATCGTGCTGGGAAGGGGATGAAGCAGATGGGCCAACTGCTGACTTGCTGGCTGGTGTAGGACAGAGGCTTAAGTGTGTGTGTGGCGTCAACAGACTGCACGGCAAGGAAGACCACCTGTCCTGTGGCTGTTCTTCATCTCTTTCATGTGCAGTCAGTGTTTGGATACGAACACAGCCTTATATAGAGTTTGACTGTGGCGTATTCTTTCTTACAAATGCTGACTGATGTTTGGGTTGTAAGAATGACTATAACAGTTTTACACATATTGAAGTAAAATTCGGTGCAGTAGCATCTGAGACTGATCCCCAATCTATATTTGGAGTAGGCCTGTCGCGATAAACAATAAATCAATTAATCTCATGATGAATGAAAATTATCGACCTCATTTTCATTTATTGGCTTTATCGTTTCTTCGCGTCTCTCTTTATACCGAAGCCCCTGGATGACAAAGGCTCAACTCCAGTGCTCTTCACTGACCCCTCGCTTTCTCTTTTCTCTTTAAAATCCATTTAACCGTGCAAAGTCACGTTTTTGGATCGTTAAAAGCAGCTAAGCTACAAGCTAAGCTAACAGGCCGGCCATGGGGGAAAAAACCTTGTCTTGTCGAAGCTCTAAAATTCACGGCTGAAACCCGTGCCTTCGTGTGAAAAGGTGTTTTTCTCTGCAAAAAGAAGATGAGAACTTGTTTACTGATTTGTTATGAAAAACTTTGTGTGACAAATGCTAAAGAGCTCAAACCACACCGAGCGTCCGTCATTTTGAGAACCGCAATAAGGAAGGAGAGACAGCCCAGAAGGAAATAAGAGCAATACCTATTAATTTGAAGATTCTTGAAATCTTTTGACGGTATGAACTGAGCCCGTTTTATGCACCCATTTTTTTTGTTTAGGAACTTTATTTTGAAATTCTGTCACTATGTTTAGACAGTTTTTGCAGACTGGTAAACCTCTGCCCATCTTTACTTCTGAGAGATTCAGCCTATCTAAAACACCCAGTCTTCTTGCTGCCAATTAACCTAATTTGTAGCTAAAATAATCCTTCAGCTGTTTATTTATTACCTGTCCCAACTTTTTTTTTTTAATGTTTTGCTACCATCAAATTCAAAATTGCCTTATTTTTCTTCAAAATGGTGCAAATTTTTACCGTCAACAGTTGATACGTTTACATTGTTTCAATGGTAATAAAATATGATCTTATAAGACTTACAAGTCATGGCCATTTGTTTTTATTTACATTTTAGACATTCCATATACGTTCCAAATGATTGTAATTGGGGTTATATCAAATTTTTTATAGTTTTAGGTTTAATTTGGTTTTGACTAACAATTTTGCATTTCATTTTGCTTTTATTAACCTCGTCCGTGATGTGCTCTGCCTTTGAACGAGCTCACAGTTAATCGGCGTCGGGCGCACAGCAAAACTTAATAAAAGTATTGTCACAGCAACAGAGCTGAGGTATTTTACCGCGGCGCTGACATTAAATATTAAACGTCGTTGCCGCTGAGACACAGTGAGTTGAACTGTAGACACTGACAACTATAGTTGTTATTCTGTGTTGTGTGTGCGTTGCAACAAGCAGCCAAAACCAACGAGTTCTTGTATACGCCAATGCAGTAACCAGTTACGATGAAGACGTCAGTTGTGCTTTTTAACACATCAAAAGTCAAATGCATAAAGATGTATCTCAGGGCTATTCAACTGGCGGCCCAGGGGCTAAATCAGGCCCACAGATGAGCTCAGTTTGGCCCACCAATGGGTTCATATTTAAATTAAACTAGATTTTAAACCATAAAACAAACTTACTTAATGACAATGCTTACTAGATGTCTGGCCGCCTGCAAACTTCCCTGTTTTGGTTTCAATTTGAGAAAAGCAAAATCCTCACACTAACTGTCATTTGGTACGATTGATTGGCTTCTCCAGGCCGAGCTTTAATCAGACTAACCAATAGTGCGATTTGGTGGGGGACAACACTGTGCATCATCGTGAAGCATGGAACAAAACTACATAAAATATACCCTATATAATAAGATGATAAGATAAACTATTTCGCTGCGTTGGCAGATCGTCAACACGTTGTATTCCTTCACAAAGTAGCATTGTCCTTTCTTGAAATATGGTTCGTAAAAGACTCGCAACCATAACTACACCAAATTTTAACACACTATATGTCAAACTGACTAAATCGTAGCTGTTTTTCTCATTTTCTAAGGTATCTGTGGTGGCCACATTAAATTGAGTTGATCATATATGTACAGTACATCTAATGAAACGAAGCAGATGGCAGTCATGGCTTGGCTCTGCTGGAGGTTTCTTCCTGTTAAAAGGGAGTTTTTCCTTTCCACTGTTGCCTTTGTGCTTGCTCAGGATGGAAGACTGCGACGAAATGAAGACAATGCAATCTGCTGGCTGCCCTACCCTATAAATAATGTTACTAATTGGATTTTTATGTATATTAATGCTTTTGGTCAGTGCCTTGAGATAACTTCTGTTGCGACTTGGCATTATATAAATTAACTGAACTGACTTAACTTTTTACAAGTTGAACTTGAACATAAAAAGACAGGAAATGCATAAGCAAAACGATTTTTGCCAAGTTGCCTTTTGGCGTCAGGCGATAAGAATGCTTGTGCAAAAATGTCTGGGATTTTACGTCTGAAGGATTTGCTCAACCGCAGTCTGTTTGACGTGGCTAAGACTTAACATTAACCTTTTAAATGGAAATCGTGTTGGCATATTTAAAGCATGATTCATGTGTGGTCAAAATGTCCCAGAGACTACGTTGTATTTTTTTTTTTTGGCTTTCCAAAAAGTGCCAAAAGTCTTGTATGTATGTGTGATTGATGTGGTGATGGATATCACACTAGCTCATTGACCACAGTATCACACCACCGTAGTGCAGCTGTTTTGTTTTAGTTCCTGTTCCCCTTCTATTCCTGAAACAAACATACATTTCTCTCAGCATTTGTGTGAGACACATCTGCAAAATCTTCCTATCTAATGTAGCCATCTTATTTAAGAAAGCATCATTTCACTAACCTAATGTAAGAAAACACTCTTTACATTTCTAAAGCTTGTGGGTTTTACCTGAGGCAGGTTGTACAGCAAACACCCATGTCTGCTGCATCATGGGATGCATGCGTCTTCTCCATCATGAGCCCTTAGAAATTCCCTCAGCTGTTTTTGACTGTTTTGAGATGGCATTAAATTTCGAGGCTTTTGAACACAGACAAAACTGAGGTTTTGGTTTTTGGACCTGAACATCTTAGGAATGAATTTTTCAGTCTTTCGCCCTCCTGGGATTGCGTTAATCTGGCTTCCAGTTCTAATGTTAAAAATCTTGGTGTTATTTTTGATCAGGACACGTCTTTTAAGCCCCACATTAAAAATGTTACTAGAACCGCCTTCTTCCATCTGTGTAATATTAAAATTAGAAACATTTTATCTAAAAATGATGCAGAAAAACTGGTCCATGTATTTGTCACGTCTAGACTTGACTATTGCAATGGTTTATTATCTGGGTGTCCAAATACTTCTTTAAAAAATCTTCAGTGAATCTAAAGTGTTGCTAACTGGAGTTAGTAGGAGAGATCATCAGTTTTAGCTAGGGATGCACAATATTATTGGTATGGAGTCAGTATCAGCCGATATTAGCGATAAAGTTAAATATCGGACATTCTATCAAAATAACTCGCTGTTTTAAGTTCATTTTTAATTTAAGAAACTGTTAAGTATATCTATTAATGCACTACTACTTATGCGCTTTTCACTTGTCGCTTGTGAACAGGTTGAGTTTAGATTTGTGAATATTTACAAATTTGCACTGTTCGAGTGTTGTCGCTGTGTTAGAGAGAGTAAATGTCATGAATAAATTTGACATTAAACATAATCCAAGTTGAAGTGTTGCATCATTTGCAGCCCCCTTTTTAGCATCTGCATTTGGTAGCAGGCCAAACTGACAAAGACCATGCAGAATAATGTAGTATTTTAAGTCCACAGCAGAGAAAGCGATGTAGTCTCTGTAAGTAGGCGTAGGAAAAAAAAAATGGTATTGGTTATTAGCCAAATAAGTTTTGACATATTGGCATATCGAATATCGGCCAAAAACCCAATACCATGCATCTCCAGTTTTAGCTTCTCTCCATTGGCTCCCTGTCAAATTCAGAATTGAATTCAAAATCTTACTTCTAGCCTACAAAGCTCTCAACAACCTAGCTCCATCTTATATTTGAGATCTTAATGTTCCATATTTTCCCAACAGAGCACTTCACTCTCAGACCGCAGGCTTACTTGCGGTTCCTAGAGTTTCCAACGGGAACGGGAAGAAGATCTTTCAGTTGTCAGAGTCCTCTCTTGTGGAACCAACTTCCAGTTTCTGTCCGTGAGCCTGACACATTGTCCAGTTTTAAGACTGGACTGAAGACTTTCCTTTTTGATAAATCCTATAGTTAGGGTTGGCTTGTTATGCTGCTAAAGGCTAAAGATGACTTCTGTTGTGACTTGGTGATATATAAATAAACTGAATTGAATAGAGGATCAAAGGCAACTTTTTCCTGTGCCCATCTCAGGAGAGAAGGTTAAAGAAAGAGTTAATAAATAACAGGGACAACAATTAAGAAATAAAACCTTTGTCTTGATACCTGCGTTCTGTTTAGTCAGTGTTTTGGTGTAATCAAAGAAATGTTAAATGTGACAAGCTAAAGACCAAACCTGTTGTTTTGTATTTTGTCTCTCTCCCAGGGTGAAGTCTTCATTTTCAGAAAGAAGTTGAGCTCTGCGCTCGAGTTCACCAGGGCCACTTCCTGATGATGACAGTAAACATGGGTGAGCAGACATCAGCTTTCTGTGTGTGTGCACATACAGAAACGTGTACACTTACACACTTCCTCTGGCAGGAACATTGCAGAGAAAAAAACAACACATGCATGAAAGCCAAGAAAAGTGAAAAAAAAAAAAAAAAAACATTCTATTGTCATATGTGTAAATGAGTTTCAGACTTTTTCTTTGTAAATAAACCCCAGAATAAATCTGCAGTTATTCTATCAGGTCATTTCAATGTAGAGCAGACCTCAAACTACTGTTTCCTTTTGTTCCTGTAGATGACGGTCTTCAAAATGGACCTGGACAGCACAGGAATACACAAGGTAGGCTGTAAAAAACCAAACCCCAGCACAGTAAATATTAAAACTGTAGCGTGAAAGGTGTACATATGAATACATGTGTGTGTGGTATGTTAATCAGGGGGTATTATGAGACGTTTGCCTTAGCATAGTTTATTGTGTGAATGTTTATGAAGCATTCACACTATCGGGATCCATTTTTCTTCCATACATTTTTCGGCATCTTTCTCGTTCCGCAGTTTTTGTGCCATTTCAACAAATCGTATATCAAAATGTTCAGTTCTTTCAGGACTTTTGGTTTTGGTGCAGCTTTAGCTTTTTGAAATATTTAGCCTTTTCTGCCACTTTTTCTCTCATAGAAAATGTATTGAGCTCATTTTCCATCCTTCAAATCTTTAAATCTGTTTACAACTTTTTACGGCTCCTTTCACATTTTGTTCCGGGTTAGCTTCTTTCAGCTTCTTTGTGCAAATTTAAGCTTTTTTTCCAGCTACTTTCAGCTGGGTTTTTTTCAGCTGGTTTGTGCTCCTTTCAGATTCTGTTTGCCAACTTTCAACATTTTTGTGCTTCTTCTAACTTATTTCTGCTAATTTCAGCTTGTTATGCTCCTTTCAGCTTATTACTGCAAGTTTCAGCTTTTTCTGCCATTTCAGCTACTATTTAGCTGTTTTTATGCTAATTTGAACTTTTCAGTTAATCCCACTTTTTTCAACCCAGTTCAGCAAAAATGTGCTCTTTCCACTCCCTTCAGGTAACTTAAGCTTCTTTCTGCTATTTTAGCTACTTTTCAGCTATTTTTTGCTAATTTAACATTTTTTCAGATAATTTCCACATTTTTGTGCTCCTTTCTGCTTCTTTCAGCCTAATTGGGCAAACCTGTTCTTTCTGCTCTCTTTTGCTATTTCAGCTACTATTCAGCTGTTTTCATGTTAATTTTAGCTTTTTTAGCTATTTCAGCTAATTCCACTTTTTTTATATAGCTCATTTTAGCTCTTTCCGCTTCCATCTGGTGGATAAAGCTTCTTTCTGTCTTTCCAACTATTTCTTGCTAATTTCAGCCTTTTTTTTTTAGCTAATTTGCAAAATTTTGTGCTCATTTCTGCTTATTTAAACCTCATTCAGCAAATGTGAATTATTTCTACTTTCTTCTGCTAAGTTATTCTTGTTCTTCCATTTCAGCAACATTTCAGCATGCTTTTAGCTAATTTCAGCTGTTTTTCAGCAAGTCCTTCTGCAATAAGCATTCACACTGCTTTTTAGCTGGAAATGCAATTTCTCTAGTTTAAATTTATCTGACAAGGACAGAACAAAAGAAAACTTATATTAAAACATTGCCATTGTTGCTTTGTGCAGCCAAAGGCTATTTTAGCGAACCTGGTCCTTGGTATGGCTTTTTAAACTAGAGTCATCAAAGAAATAGAAATTTCACATATTCAAGCACATAGTGCAACTCTTTAGTTTAGTTAAGCTACGCTGTGTTTCATTTACTGTGAACGTTGGAGTTTTCTAAATTTTAAACTTTTAAACAATTCATCTACATGTTACGATGAAAAAGTGGACTGTGAGTGAGGCAGCCATATTGGATTTTGAGGTTGCTGAAGTTAGAAACTTCCACACTTTCAAGTCAGATTTGATATATATTTTTTTTCCTAATTTACCGTTGAGTCACTATCTATTTATTTTAGCTTTATTTTTTATTTAGCTTAGCACAAGTACCATAAATTAAATGGCAACTTAACTCTTTCAAAATCCTATGAATGTGTCTGGCTTTGATCAGCCTAAAGTTAAAAAACAAAGTGAATTTTACTAGCCTGGCTAGTAGTAGGTATTTTTGAGAAGGCTTTTACTTTGTGTTAGTAACTATTTGTAGAATAAAATCATGTGAACCCTTAAGCAGGAAATGACATTGAGAATAAACACCGTACGGAGGAACAAAAGGCTGCACGACATGTTTTCCATGTCTAGAGCTAACAAGTTAAACGTTACGCTCACTGGGTAAAATAAGATGCTTCTTCTCAGATAGGATGTTTTACACATGTGCTAAAGCAAAACAGCCTTCTTTTCTGTGCATTGCATAGAAAACATGAATTCATTTACAATGTAAAAATACTTTGTCTCCAAAGGAAATATAAGTTGTTGCACTGTGCGTTTATTGGAAACAAACCAAAACAAAAAGAACAAAGAGGAAAAATACAGAGACCTTATGAAAGAACAAATTATTGGCTTTTGCCATTGTAAGGAATTACATCCCGCAACAAGTTTCTATTGAAAAAGGGTAAAAACAAGCTGTGGAAGCTTAAAAAAAATTGTATGCACTGGATTGAATTCAAGAGAAGTGTACCAGTAGTTAGTTCTGCAGAAATTCGTAGCTAATCACTAAAAAATAGACTTTTGAAACAGACCTTGTGCAAACATTAATTGCACAACTATTGCTAACCACCAACAATATCTTGCATTACATCAGAGTTATTTCTTGTAGTGAAAGATTAACCTTGAGCGTTTAAACATTATATCCATTACGGCATAAGTTGACAGTGCCATGGTTTCATCAAGCAGAACGCAGCCTTGCATATGAGAGCTGGCATGTATGCATTTATGAATGTGTTGTGCACCAGAGATTGGATCTGACTTCTGCAGCGGAGTGAAACACGCTTAGCTCCAGCTGCTAATCCTGCCGGATGCCTTTGCCATGATGTGTCTCTCGGCGCAAGGAAATCCCCTCTGTGTCTTTTCAGGCAGTTTGCTTCATTCGCACTCCGCTGCTTTGCTGGTTTTTACACAATACTGTATTACGAGCGCTAGCGCCTAAACGCACGAGCTATTCTCCAATCACGCTTGAGGCAAAAGTATGTGCCTGCAGTTTCAGCTCAAAACTATTTTGGCTGCACTGGTTTCAGCTTGAGCAGCAAACACAGGCCAGAATCTTCTTTTATGCTAAATGTCTCAGACTCTGCTGCGTTTCATCTGCCGTCACTTTCACAGTTCCTCTAGCTTTAATCTGAGGGGGGAAAAAAAAGAGATGCTGAATGATGATGCAAGGACTTGCAATCAGTCTCCATTGTGTAACGTCGCTGCCCGGCTTCCTGGAATTCCCCCCTTTTTCTTACGCTGGTTGCATTTGACCCTAGACAGAATGGTAACAGCTCCGGAAATGAACTGCAGGTATCGCAACATGTCGGCACACCAGATCCAATCCTAGGTCGGGCTGACTTTAGGAGGTTCTGAAGCCAGTTATTGAGACTGTTTCTGGCAGAGATGGTGCGCGGGTTTTCCACTGGGCTGGTGGTTAGCCTTGGCTGGCCTCGGTCTGGCAGTGGCCATGAACGAGGTCCGAGTGAGGTAATAACTCCATTTATAGGCCAGTTCTGTATAACACCACGCATTTCTCACACTCTCACTGCCCCCTTCAACAGCACAGCCTCCCACTCTCCCCACACTGTTATTATCCAGTCGACAGAGCAATACGTCAACTGCACAAACACGTAGACCTCCGTTTGTTTTGTATCCTTGACTGTGAGTGGACACTAGGGTAGTCTGAGGAGGCATAAGTTAAGCAACTTGGATAAAAAGTGATTTTATTCTTCACAATCATTCAAACATTCATAATGCCTAAATAGCAAATGTGTTGCTACAAATGTAATAGGTATTTGGTCATGAAAGCAAAAATAAGTTGAAGTCGTGAGTGCATAAAAATGTATTTGATCCAGATGAAGCGTTTTTATAACGGTGGGAAAACTACATATGTTTCAGTTGTCTTGAGTCAGTCAGAAATCCATGAACTTCCTGATGTGGAGTAATAAAAGGGTTTGTCGTGTGTGCTCTGAACAGACCGTGATTCAGTTCCTTCCTTCTCAGAAAAGATGAGCCCGGTCCATTGGTTAGTCATCCACCACTGCTGATACGAGCACTGTAACTATTCTGGCCTCCTCGGTTAGTTTCAGCGTGGCGTCTGCAGCCTGGAGCTGCTGTGATGGAAGTAACTTTATGTGGTTTTGCCTGTGGAAGAATGTGGCTTATTTACACGTGTAGGTGTAACTTACATTTTTAGTCTTTTCTTTTGGGGATGCACAATATTATCTGCTTGGTATCGATTTCAGCTGAATATCGGACATCGGCCATTCCATCAAAATAACTCACTGATATAAAAGGCGCTGTTTTTGTATGACAATCCAGTGACAAGGATGCCTGCAGCGGCAGCACAACGTGATGACGTCACGCGTGCCTACCTGGTCTGATCACAGCGGAGAGGAAAATTCAAAATGTCGGCGGTGTGGAAGTTTATTTTTTCGTTGAGGATGTCTGATTTCGAAGATTTTTGGACTACGTTGAGCCTCGCTACATCGTCCCGTCAGATATTTTTCCGACGTAGCATTACCTGAGTTACAAGCTGTCATTTCCGACTTGACTTAGACGCTAATAGCCGATAGCACTTGGGTGCGTTTTTACCTCGGACATTTGGACGTTGTGTTAGCCCCGTTAGCATGATTAGTCTTGCGGCACAATGGATAGACAAAACCTTTGAACTTAAAAAGGCTGTCCTTCATGCACAAGAGTGCAGAGGATCCAACACTGCAGCTACAAACCTGGAACAAGCCTCCACAAGTGAGACATCACAGGTGGCTAATGCTAATAAATAACATTCAACAATTTTCATTTAATATAAGTTAAAGTGCTTTGCATATCATATGGCTGTTACTGAATATATGCCACCAGGTCTTACAGCTGTTACACAATTTTTGTAGCAAATAAGCCAAAATAAGAGGAATATGTTCTGACAAAGGAAAGTATATAAAATATCGGTATCGGCCAAATAAGTTTTAACATATCAGCATATCGGATATCAGCCAAAAATCCAATTTCATACATCCCTACTGTCTTTCATGTGTCTCACTGTCTAAATAAGCAAGAATGAGAAGTGATGTTCAGTTTATTTTTTTTAACACAAATAAGCACACGCACAAACTTATATGGTGTTGCTGCTAGAAGAAATTTACTCTTTAATTTAAATTTAACTTGAGAAAAAT